CCACCCCCCCGCCATTAATAGCAACGAAAGCAGGAGCGGGCCTCTAACTCTTTTATAACTGTTTCTGTGCCGTTCTCAAACTATTTGAAACCGCCTTTATGAGGTGCATAAAGTGCCTAACTAAAAATAATAGAGAAATAGGAATCCATCTCACTTTCTGATTCCCTGAAGTAAAGCCACTCAAAATAATTTGTTTATACTGGAGACTATATACAAGGCATACAAAGCAATATGTATGTCTAAAATCGACATGCCTTTTGGTTTTTAGCTGTTATAGAGCTTTTATTGTGCGGGTCTGGTCTGGCAATAGGAAATGATCTGTAATAAAAACAGTGAAACACGGTTGTGTCTATTCCATACATTGAGGTTATAAAATTGGCAATTGCCCAGTAGTTAGCACTTGGTAATATATTAGGATACCCGATCTTATTGTTTAGCAGCTCCAGACGACTTAAATATCCGTTCAACCCTAATGGTTTGATTCTCCAGCTATGTTGCAAATAAACAGGGGTTTTATGACTTAAGTGACATGTATTATAACTACCTAAATAGCTGGCATATGTGCATAATAGAACCCTATTATTTGCCGAATTGGTTTTGTAATTGATTGAGTGGAAATGAGAGACTGTGGAGCAGTATCTGCTCGACGAGGGTGTGTAATCAATTAGTTTTCTCCTCTGCAAGATGCCCGCTGGACTGCCAGGACTCTACCACCAGCAACACCCCTAATTTTGGAGTATATTTTCTATAGGGAAAGGCATGTTGCCGCAATTCCGAGAGGAAGCATCAGTAGCAGCTGTCAGCTCTTATTAACTCCTGCATAAAACATACCTTAAGTACGGTTTGTTATCAATTACTTGCAGAAATGAAACAACCGGGGAAAATGCAGCGAGACTCCCTATAAATTAAAGCGATTGGCTGATTGGTTAAAGCACCTGCTGTAAATCATCACACTTACCCACAATTATGAGGGAGCTATTTCAGTTCATTCGTAAACAAAATTCAGGTCATGGGGGAAATGCTCTCATTTCTAGTTTAGCCAGTTTTTGTTGTTGTTATTTATTTCTGAGTGTGTATGGTTGCTATTATAGGAATTTGTTTGTTATAATCCCCTTGGTAACTCTTAAAATAACCTCACTGGTTTCTCAGAGAAAAGAAATACTTCCTTTTTATCGTGGACAGCATAGAATGTTTTAATTTTACTTAGTTTTGTTTTACTGTTTTGTCTTGTTTTGGTTTTTTGTTTGGTTTTTTTTTTCCTCATAACTACCTTTATATGTGTTACATATACCCATAGTTACCCATAAGTACCTAAATATGTGTTACGGTAACTAGATCAGTTTTATTTAGGGAGAGGAGAGTTCCTACTACTTCACGGACAGCAAAATATGATTAAGGTGGAGAACACCATGGTTAGACCAGATTTTTTTTTTCTTTCTTTCTGGTGTTCATTTTTCTGAAGGAAAAGACTCATTTTATTTCATAAACCAGAGTTAATAAAAACACAAAGCAATAACAGAGCTGTCTTCTGGTTGCTGTATCCTCCAGCCTTGATACTTATTTAAGACAGCAACTCCCTTCGTGTAGTGAATTTATTCCTGGCTCAGCTTAGCAGTAATGGAAACATTAGCAAAAAAAAGTAAATTTTCCTTTTTTTTTCCCCTCCAGAAAGGCGCTGTCCGTTGTACAAAAGGCATCGGGGGGCTCTGGGTGAGACACAGGCTCAAACCCGAAAGTTGCCAGGTGCTTGCCAATATGTATTTTATTTCCCAATGATCAAACCCTACATAGAGGCTGTACTGTACCACCCTTCTCTCCATCCATCATTCATGGAGCAATTTCCTAGAGGTTGGGGGAGCAGCACCCTTTAGGTTGCTGGAGGTAGCCAGAAATTCAAAATTCCCTTTCATTTTGCTGTTCTGTGCATGTCAGAGAGACTTATCCAATACTCCTTCATGACATGATGGTTTCTCTCTCCCCTCTTACCCTTTTCTTCCTCCAGTTCCGGTTCCTCCAAAATCTGTTACTTCTTTGATGATGAACAAAGATGGCTTCCTGGGTGGAATTTCAGTCAATACCGGAGAGGTGTTTTGCTCTGTACCTGGCCGCTTGTCCTTGCTTAGTTCAACTTCAAAGTATAAAGTAACTGTGGGAGAAGTTCAAAGACGCCTTTCTCCTCCAGAGTGTCTGAATGCATCCCTCCTAGGAGGAGTACTTAGAAGGTAAGACGCTGGAGCATGTGTGTGAACATGCCCATGGGTGGGCATTCATGCATGCACCAGGAAATATTAGGTCAACAGTAAAGATGATTGCAAATGCACATTGATCTTATCGTCATAGCTTGTGTGTATCACATTCAGGATTAAGTGAAAATATGCTGTAATCAGACATTGAGATGAACATATGGAGACTAGAGAAAGATGTGGCCTAGTGCAGTTTCTATCAAAGAATCCCAGAATGAAGGAACTGAGACAAGAAGATTTTTACTCTTGTACATGCACACACTTTCTACCTTTTCTTGTACTCACACTTCTTACAAAACTGTCAAAATAAAATGTGACAATGGCCATGTTGCAGTTAGACATTGCAGGATAAACCAGATATATTTCAGGACCTGATGTATTTCTAGGGATTTCCTAGATAAATCCATAAGGCTAGCTTTATATGGGAATAACGATAAAGCAATTAACATGGTGTTACACAAGACATTATTTAAATTGGCAGGGGATTAATAGGCAACCTGTAAGGTATGTAGGTAGCTGACTAAAGAAAGCCAGCAACAGATAGGCTTCAAAGTCAGAAACTTACTGCTTCATCTAGAGAAAGCTGCTGAAGGAATTACTCACAGTTGATCTTGAGGCCTTTGCTATTTAATATTTGTGCAAATCACCCACTAAGGTCCTGGTGGGTTTTGCTGAAGACTTCAAAATAGTTGGTGTTATTGGTGCTGAGGAAAATGAGGACCAAGGGATGACCTGGAGGCCTGGTTACCATTCCACCATAACAAGTGGGAGATTGTGCGTTTAGGTACCAGAGATTGTGCATTTAGGAACCAGCAACAACAATTTAAACTCTGAGGTCATCAGCTGGAAAAACTACCAGGGAGAAAGGCCTTTGTTTTCTTGGCAGTGTCTGAAAGACTATCAACTGACAGAATTACTTGTCTGGAAGAAACGTGGGCAAGGCTCCATCTCCAGTCAGAATAGGGAAGAAGTCATCATATGACATGAGGTACCAGTTCACCCAAGCCAGTAGAAAGCTGAGAGAGGGGATAGGACTTCTTTTTCTACGTGTGAGGTATATGCCAGACTGGAAAATAAAACACTACTTCGAGACAGGAACAAATGCATATAAATTGACCTTGAATAAATTTCAGATCGCGTTTAAAAATTGCTAATCTTAGAGAAGGAAATACTTTTGTTAAATTCTGTAGTAGCAGTTCGGCAATGTTGACTGTAAGGTGTTCTAAAAAAGTTGTGTTTGGATTTCCCCCCTCTCACTCTCACACCACCCCCCCAACCCCCCCCGCAAAAAAAATCTGTGGTGACGTCTGGAGATGTGGGGAAAAGTCCTGCCACATGCTGTCAGTCACCCAAAAATACACGTGAGAATTAGGGTCTCCTAAAATAGATGCTGTTCCACGTGAATGTCTGTAATCATTGTTCAGCTGTCATCCTTGCCAGTGAGAGCAGCAGAGAATTTTACTTACAGATGCCAACCTGCCTCCTCATTCTGTACAACTGCAAATGGAGCAGGGAGAACATCTGAAAGATACACTGTAGGAAATATAATTAGCAAGGTAAAGAAACATGATTATTGAACTTCAGTGGATTTCTGGAATTGGCCCAAGCCATCGTCATTGGCTGCTGCGGACTTCAGGTCCTATCTTGAATCTAAATACTAGACAAGCTTTTGTTTCAGAGGAGGTGAAATATAGAAAGCTGCTGTCTTGTAATTCTGCCATCTAGCCCTATTTACTTTGATACAAAATAGGGGGAAGCCAGCCTGGCTTCTCTGTCGTTTCGCTAAGAAAGAGTACTAATTCTTAAATAATTTTAAGTAAGAGCTAAGAGATGTTTGGGAAAGACTCTGATCTTCGGTGCCAAAACTCTTCCTGATTTCGCAGGTGGCAAGATTTCATCCCTGGGGGTTTACATATGTATAGGCGTCCGAACAATAGCTCTGTATTTCCCACCTATAGCTCATTCATCCTTTTATTGTCCTTATCAGTAACCTCCGCCAGACATTCAAATCTTCCTCCAGGCAATCAGTTCCCTCTCTATAACGCACCCTGTCTTCAGGTGAGCTGTTCCTCTTAGCATCGCCTTTCTGCAGCAGAACACACTCACACACACAAGCGCAAAAATGGGTTAATAAATATTTTCCTCCTTTTGTATTTTATCCACAGGCACACACATTCTCCTTTTGAGCCTTCCAGATATTCCCCCGCCTCTCTCTTCTTCCCATCCCGGATTTTTCCTGAAATAACCGAGGATTTAATTCTCTTCTTACCTTTCTGCCCATCTCCTCACTCCATCTTAATATCAGCTAGTATCATACAGTAGGAACCCTTTCTCTCTCTAGATCAGAACGCCGTACATTAATTATTGCTATCTGGCATTATTTGATGTCCCTTGATAAAACAAGGGGTAGGTGAGTTCATCCCCACTCCCACCCCTAGGAGAAATGAAGGAAATCTCTACAAATCCGAACAGGAATCAGCACACCCCAGGTCGAGTGAAAACCCTCCCAGGCTCCAATGACCACACGGACTAAACGTTTCTTCCAGGAACACCGCGGGGTTAATCACGATGTTAATTTCTTTGCAATTCTAGAGCCAAATCGAAAAACGGGGGGAGATCTTTGCGAGAAAGGCTAGAAAAAATCGGTTTGAATTTACCAGCCGGCAGGCGTAAGGCCGCAAATGTCACTTTACTCACCTCCCTGGTGGAAGGTAAGCCGGGGGTCACAGCTGCCTTCACCACCCCTGCCTGCTCTGAACTCGTGTCTGACATTTTACTAACCAAAAAAAAAACCAAAAACCAAACCCAAACCACTTTGGGATCAAATGGGAAAACCTTACAGAGGGGAAATTCAGGGCGGGTTAGGATGAACACGGATAAGCATCCCGTTCCCCAAAATTAACTCACTGGCTGGAGGGGCATTGGTCCCTCTTGGTGGCAAGAATGAGGTTGTGTGTGTGTGTAAGTGTATGTGTGTATATATGTGATGCTGCAGGGCAGTCCCATCCCTCACTGCTATTAATTTCCAGCCTGTGCTCTCCAACTCCACATCTACTCCATCCTCCCGCTAATTCGCTCCTCCCGATCTTATTTATGGCCACTATAGGACGCTCAATGAGGAAAAATAATACAGAATTTATTTATTTTAAAAGAAATAAGAGGAATTTCAGAGTTGCAGAGTGCGGTTTACCTTAAGGTGGCTAGAACTGAGCAAAGAGAGAAGCTGTTCCTGAGGAAGGAGAGAGGGGAGATGAGGTTGCACTTCATCTTAAATCAGCAAATGTCGTTTTGGAGGTCTGCGTGTTTCTTTGATTTATTGTTACGGTATTGAAAAGTAAAATTTAGAGACGCTAATATGTTTAGGATATGTCCGTGTTTATGCTAACAGAAGTTGGACCTTCTCCAAAAAACATAACCGGAACAGCATGGATGCAACTATGAATTATATGTATCTGCATTACACATGCACACCGAGAGGCGTTTAAATAATCCACTTATCTCTGTTGCGTATAAGCATGCATAAATATTTGCGCTAGATAGTAACTTTTCTACTCTTTTGATAGAGTTTTGTGAGCCATAAGACGTTTTCTCATGCAGAGAGGGCTCGCAAAAAGTCGGGGGCCGGTAGAAAGGATCTCCCATAAAAGGTTGTGCAAAGTTCAGGGTAGGATATAGGGTTGCGCTGTAGGAGAGGTGAAGTATCTCGGGTGTGACAGCCAGGATTAGCGCAACTTCACTCTCCTTCCTGCCTGTGTGAAGACCGGTGCATCCTGCTCACAGCAAAATCAGTCCCTTCCCGAGGCCGGCTTGAGGTTCAGAAGCCTATGCGGTTGTAGAGTGATGTTAAGTGTGTATTAAGGTGCGCATAACCCCCCTCTTCCTTGATTTCCTTACAAATCAACAGTTTATCTTGAGAGCCCCCTCTTTTTGGGAGAAGCTGAGCCTCATGGAGATTTATTTTCTTTTCTGCCACCAGCCAGGCTCTAGCATTGCTGCTATTGTATCCCCGAGAGCAGAAGCGCCCCGACCGGGGTCACGGCTTGGTTGCCCGGGCGGCCCCGGCGGGAGAGGGGGGCTGGTGGTGGCTCTCGGGGTGCCCAGCCCGTCGTCAACGGGTCGGTGATGAGCGAGAAGCCTCGGGAAGCAGAAGATGACGTTGGAAAGCAATTCCAGATCGTTAAGAAAAAAGGTGGTCCTGGAGTTAGTATACATACCTGGTTTGCGTGTTAGAGATCTTCCTCCACGGTCCCTCAGGCGGTGCTTTAGAGGGTTTAATACTTATTCTAGAGGGGCTGAGCTACAATCTGGTGGAATCCCCTCGGAGTCTGAGGTTCCCCCCCCCCGCCTTCTCATCCTTTCTGCAGCTACTGTCTTATTCTTGTGGCATGAAGTATATCAGTAGAGGTTGGATGACACGAAACTCTGGAGGCAACAAACCCGAAACCAGACAGACAGGAAAAGTGACAGAATTAGAACTAGAGCAATTATTATCTTTCACAGAAAAAGGTGGTCATTACTTGCGGTCTTTCGACCAGGCACAGTTCCTGTTGTGGGATGGTCAGTTAAGAAAGCAGATAAATAGTAATGCAGTTATCTCTATCATTTTAGAGATGTGGCGATGATTGTGATGATGATACAAGTGCTCTGTGTGTGCGTTTAAACAAGTGTGTATATAATATTCTGCAATGAATTTACATTAATACTAAGACTATGTCCATATCTGTAAAAATTTCGACAATGATCTACTATATTGAAACAGGAATGGTTTCTCTACTCTTAAGAGAAGTTTGGGTCCTTCTGTCTTTCGGGATTTAACTAGATTTCCCTCTCTGTTTTGTTTTTGTCCCAGTTAATTTGGAAGTGCGCATGGGTGTATGTAGGGGTGTGAGGGGTGTGTGTAGGAGTGTGAGGGGTGTGTGTAGGAGTGTGAGGGGTGTGTGTAGGTTGTGCGTGTGCTTTTCTCACAGTTCTGCACAACCGCCGCATGAGTACACACCATCACAAGTGCCTTGTAGCAAAGACAAACCTCATCAGCTGAAAAATCTGGCCTTACTTCAGTCCCCTACACAGGGCTAGGGGAGGGAAACACGTACCTGGCGCCTGTCCGCAAGGCACAAAGGGTGTTAGTTTTCCAGGCTCGGTTTGAAGAGCCGGTCCCTCCCCGGGAAGTGGTGGGCAGGAGGCCGATGCCACCGGTACCTAAGGTAATGCCCCTCTCCTTCCCTCCAGGTGAGGCCGTTCATTTAGCCCGGGATTTTGGGTACATCTGCGAAACGGAGTTCCCAGCCAAAGCTGTTTCTGAGTACTTGAACAGACAGCACACGGACCCCAGCGACCTCCACTCCAGGAAAAACATGCTGCTTGCTACAAAGTGAGTGCAAAGTTAACTATCCCCCTTCTGCCCCACCTTCCCACCAAAGCCTCCCTTACCCCTTAACCCCTTCCTCAGAGATAGTTTTGAAAGGAGACAGATTTTACAGACCCTAAGTAATTTCCAGTCCCTAAATTACAGGGAGGAAGGACGCTTGCATGGTCCTATGGGCAGGGTAGACCCTATAGCCCCTGAGCCCCTTCACAGGGGGGTTTCTGCCAACACACTCTATAGACGATGAAGGTGACTATCCCTTGCTCCTGCACATCATTTCCAAACCACCCCCAGTTAAAAGATCTTTACGGAAAGGGGGCTAAAAATCTCTATTTTGCTTCCATAGTGTGTCTGTCTGTCCCTCCTGCTGCTCACACACACCTGTTTGTCTGCTACCAAATTGCAAGGTCTTTTCCATAGGGTTTAATAAAAAAAAAAAAAAAAAAAAAAAAAAAAAAATTAAAAAAAAAAGAAGAGAGAGAGAGAAAAAGCACCCACCACTATGTACTGCTGCTGATTCTTGGTTTGATCCCCCCATTCCATGCCCTCCCTTGGGTCTTTCTTGGTGGCTGTGCTGTATGTGATGATTTACACTTGGATGTGCCTCCCAGCCTACTCACTGGGTGCTTAGTAGTTTGCTCGAGTCCTTAGCGAGGGTGCTGTGTGTCTCCCCACGTCTTTGTCTACCCAGCAAAAAAAAAAAGGTCAAAAAAGGAAAGAAAAAAAAAAAACAAACACCCCAGCCTAAACAGCTCTCATTTATTTCATGCTCTGGGACGTGGCTTGCCTCCGATGACAGTGTAATTTAAAGAAATATATGGAGAGTTGAAAAATCATTTGCTCAAATTTGTCCAGATGTTTTTTAGACGTGATTGGAATTTGATTGCCCTTTTCCGCAGGGTCAGGAGATATTAATGTCCCAGAACTTTAATTGCTCGCAGACCCTGCTTTGCTCTTTGAAGATGTAAAATGTTGGACTCATTACTGTTTGTTCTCCAAATTCAAAGATTCCTCTCTTGCACTTTCTTAATGGATAATACACATAGAAGCAGACCTTTATCTTTCTCCACCCTCTGAAACCTTTAACCCACTGGGAATTTCAGAGAATTTCAGAGGATGAGAGCTGAACGCATTTTTTAAGGGTTTCTTTTTTCTTTTCTTTCTCTCTTTTTTAAAATTCTGGCTCTTTTTTCTCCAGTCCCTGGGTAGACACCTGTCTCAAAGAAATTATTCCTTTGGGAGCCCCACCAGCCCCCAGGGTTTCTGCATTGCCTGGGCACCTGTTGACTTGAAGGCGTTTTGGACCAGAGCAATGCAAAAGAAAGTGTGTAGGTGGAAATTCATTAGAAAAATCAAATCTGATTTTTCAAAGGTGCAGGCAAACAAACGAGAGCCAGAAGTCAATTCTGATGTGTTAATGGGGGTGTCACCCGCCAGATATAAAATCTGAAGTGCTTGCTTTGCTCCTCATGCAATGAATAAACCAGCACTGAGTCCTAAAGTCTTGATCTCTCTTGGTAAGGTGGCCCAGCCTAAGCAGGCACAGAAGTGACTCAATTTTAGCCCTTTCCTGCACCATGTCCCTGTGGTGTGTAGCTCTCAGTGCATGGTTGTGCTTTCCTCCAGGAACAGCATTGGTGGGAGCTGCTTTGAGACAGGGCCTGGCCTCCAGAAAAAAGGGCAGTTGGCAGACCCATGGCACAGCTCTTTTTCATTCTGGTTATTTCTAGAGCCACCAAGCAAAGTGCTTCAGAAGCATCTTTGAAGCACCACAGTGCTTCAGAAGTATTATTGTGGCTGTCAGACAGATTTCTATCTCCAGACCTGGTGTTGTCCTGCAGTTGCAGAAACCTTTCTCCTGAAGAACATCATCCTGGCCAGGGAGATACTGGCTCACCACGGCTGGTCCCTGAGCACTCCTGGGGGAAAGGAAGGTGGCAAAAATGACCTATCCTGGGTCTTGGCATCAGCTTTGGCCTGAACCTGCTCCTTTCTTCAACCTTGGCTGTCTTGGAGAAGTGTGGGATGAGCCTAACCACCACTTTTTCTCTTTTCTCCTCTTTGCCTTTCTCTTCTCTGTGCAGGCAACTTTGTAAAGAATTTACAGATCTTTTGGCCCAGGACAGGACGCCCATTGGAAACAGCCGGCCCACCCCTATTTTGGAACCAGGCATTCAGAGCTGCTTGACTCACTTCAGCCTCATCACTCATGGCTTTGGGGCCCCCGCTATCTGCGCTGCCCTCACGGCCCTTCAAAACTACCTGACTGAAGCTCTCAAAGGCATGGACAAGATGTTCTTGAACAACAACACTGCTAACAGGCACACATCTGGCGAAGGACCAGGTAGTAAAACTGGAGACAAGGAAGAGAAACACAGAAAATGAGAGAGAGGGAGAGGAAAAAAAAAAAGGAAAAGAAAAAAGTTAAATAAATAAAAGGAGAAAAGAGAGAGATAATCTTTTAAAACAAAACTGTCTTAATTTTAGCTTTAAAAATACTGGATTGGGCTTTGGAAGAATTCTATTAGGTAGGAAAAAATAATAATAATAATAAAAAATAATAATAATTAAAGACAATAATTTAAGATCAGAGGAGCACAATGGCGCAAGACCAGTGGTTCAGAGTCTCTTGCCAGGAACATGTGA